TGTCTTAAAAAACAAAGCAACAAATAAGATAATTGCTTATTTGTTTTCAAGAACATAATAAACACATAAAGGACCAGGGAAATAAAGTTAATGAAAGTGCGATTATATAGTGTACCTGTATACATTTTCCAATAATTAAGTTAGCTTTATGGTGCTGGAGAGATGTCTCAGCAGTTAAGAGCATTGGCTGGTCTTCCTGGGGACCCAGGTTCTAGTCTCAGCACCCACATGACATCTAACGAATATAACTTCAGTGTCAGGGAATCCACCTTTTTGCAACCTGCAGGCAACAGGCATGCCACATTATACATAGACATATGCATGCAGACAAAGCACCTATATGCATAAATTTTCAAACTTAAAATTTCTCTCATGAACAATATAGAAAGACAATTACTGTGGTGATATATTATTATTTATTATTTAATAAAGCTTGCCTAAGGGTTCATAATGCAAAGCTAGTCACAAGCCATAGAAGTCAGGCAGTGGTGGCGCACACCTTTAATCCCAGGACTCAGGAGACAGGCAGATGGATCTCTGTTAGTTCAAGACCACACTGAGCTACAAGAAATTGATCCAGTCCTAAAGAGAAACAGCTCACACAAAGGTGATCTCAGCACCTGGGATCCCATGCCTTTAGTCCCAGCACTAGGGAGGTGGAGACAGGAGTGATATGGCTGGGCAGAGAGAGGTATAAATGGAAGAAGCAAAGGGTTCGTGTGAAGATTTAGCCTCCAGCCACACTGAGGAGAGGCAGCAGTCTAGGATTTTAGTCTGAAGTCTGGTGGACAGCATTACACTCTGAGAATTTCTGGAGCTAGCTGGATCACCCTTTCAGTCTGAGGTAGAGGTAAGAGTTAGTGGCCGGCTGCTTTGCTTATCTGACCATCAGCTTGAACCCCAATGTCTATCTCTGGGTTTCTATTTTAATAAATAAATTACTGCTTGATGAAAATCTGTTTTATGAAAACTTAAGATTTTGATGACAAATGTTCTCCACAAATGCATGTGTTTGAACACTTGGTCCCGGTTGGTGTCAATATTTGGAGAGAATGTGGAAATTTGGGAGAGAAGGCTACCTGGGCAGAGCAAGTCATTGGAGAAGATGGGGACAGAGTAAGACATGGGGCAAGTGGGAGGAAATAAGTCATGGGGGCAAGTGGGGGGGAGTAAGACATGGGGATAGGTGATCCTTGCTTCCTGTTCTGTTTCTGTCTCCATTCCCTGATCTGTGGAAATGTAAGGAACTGTTTGGGGAATCATTCCCCACCCCAAACACACACCATGATTCCTTCACCATGAACCTGTGAGCTAAGCTAAATCCTTTTTCCTGCAAGCTACTTCTTGTCAAATATTTGTTCTCCATGACAAGAAAAACAACAAATATAAAAGTACATATATCTCACATGGCTTCTGGGCATGACCTTTTGCTAGATATGAGCCCTACTTAACATCCTGGTCAGGCCCAAGAATGGTAATAGCTATTTTCCATTTTGGCAGTGTTATCCTGTTTGAATAAAAATGATCAAACCCCACAGTTGACTGCAAGTCACCACAGGAAAAAAAATGCAAGACTCTTATTGACTCGTGGAGTAGAACTCAAACAATCAAAAAATAAAATCTATCTGTGAGATCAGTGTCTACAAAATCAACTCATCATTCAATTTCCTAGTCGGGTTTATTTGAAATATCACATGTTTGAATGATGAACCTTTTCAAGGCAAAAGCACAGAGTTAACTGTGAGCAAATACATACATCATCTTCTCAAGGCACATCTGGAAAGTGCTTTGTGCAGAAAGAATTTGTTGACTTCTTAGTCCTGAACGAAGTCTGACTAAAGCTAGCTCTTCCTACCTGCTACCCTAGGGCCAGAATTGCTTGATACAAGTCCTCAGCAAAGTCAGAGTTTGGGGGCCTCGGGGTAGAGGAAGCTGGAGAGACCAGACCAACACACTGACCCTGTCTTATTTTACCTTCTCATCCTGCAACTGTTCTAGAAGGCCACTAAATGGCTGGCCCTCATAAAGGTGTCTATCCCCCAGCTTTATCTGGCATCCTCTTCCCTTGGATTCTTACTACTTGTCTTGGCTTATACCATGTTGGTGTCAAAAGTTTTATTTGGTGAGCTCCTAACTGCCCCTACAGCATTTTTTGCGACTTAGCATAATAATGGAAAGATAGGGATCTAATACTTGAAGGAGAAAGATGGGGGAAATAACACTGAGAGACCAAACTTCCAGAAATCGACTCACGCATTCCTTTCAACAGTCCACAAGGTAGGAACCATTATTCTCCCACTCTATTTAGGAGCAGACCAAGGCCAAGGTTATGAAACCCGTGAACTGTAGAGCCAGAGTTTGGCACCAACTGTGTGCTGCCTGCTTTCATGATTTTTAACTAACCTGCTGTGCATTGGCTACTGAAAGAGTATCCAATGAAGGTCCATTTATTGATCTATATGTAGTCATTCCAGATGAATTCTGACTGGATTCGATGTATCTGTAAACACCTGTACTTTTCGTTCTTGGTGCTATACAATCCGTATGTAAGTTCATCATAAAAAAGAGAAAAAGATTCCCTCAAAGGCCCAGTTGGGTAATACTTCTTTGCCGAAGTTGAGACTAAGTATCCGATGCAGTGGAGAAGCTAAGATTTACATTGCTGTGTGGGATATCAAGCCATGAGTCAGAGTTCCAGGCTATTAATTAAGGACAAGTGTTTACAAAGTGGAAAGGCTATGCTGGCAACAGCTAAAACAGCAGATATGGAATTCCCCTCCTGAAGATTCAGCACATGTGTGGGAGAGGGATCTTGAGAGGGAACATTATTCCAAGACCGTAGGAGAGAGAATTATGGAACCAGCAAACCGTCATAGAAGCTACAGCTTCATTATTGCTGAGGGGAAATGAGGCAAAAGGAGAATGAGTGAAGTTCATTAAGAAAGTTCCCTGCTTAGAATGTAGCTGGGTGGTAGATCACTCGCCTAGCAGGTGCAAGGTCCTGGGTTCCAATTCTGGCAGTGAAAAATTTTAAAAAGGAAAAAAAAAACAGTAAGTAGGAAAGTCTTCCTAGGCGACTTGACTTGAAACTTGAAAGCAATAAATTAAAAAAAATCAAAGAAATGCTGTTGTTTTACCTTAGTTACAGTAGCTGTGCTTTAAACCACTAGCAGCCAGGCCATAGCCTGAGGGGAATTCTGTTCCCCAACCCAAGACAACGGCTCTGTTGCTGTTGCTAAAGGTAGTTATAACTAAATCTCTATCGTTCTAATAAAAGTTCAGATTCAAAGGCTAACATGAAAACCTGCAAGTTCAGAGCTTTAGAGTAGTTAGTAACTGACTGACTTGCTCTCAAAGCCCCTCCCTCCCACACCACCCCAACTCAAAACAAAACAAAACAAAACAAAACAAAACAAAAAACCCTATGCTAAACTCCTTTCTCCTACTTCCAGTCAACCAGTTGCTCACTTCTGCTCTCTGAATCCAGCTTAATTTTATTTAATTAACACAAATGCAACACATCTTTAGATAGTTAACAAATGTGGCATGAACAAATGTAACACATCTTTGCCTAGTTCAAATAATATTTCACAACCAAAACAGGACTGAAGATGATGGGAATAGTGTGTGCAGAGTCAAAATCTCTGAGCTTCTTATATTTGACTAGATTGTAGTATCTACTACAGATCAACTACTGTCTAAGTTCTAAAAATACAAAAGGGAACTCAGTCGTGTTCTGTGCAACCTTTGGGGACTCTATCTAGTGGAGGAACTGACATACATGTAAACTCTCATGAACCCACAGGTATTGTTGAGTGGAATGGACCTGGATTAGATAGACTTCCACCAAAGCAACTAAATACCCAGGAGAAACAATTGGAAAGGAGGATTTGTTTTAGCCTACAGTTTCAGGAGGTTCATTCTGTGGTCACTTGGCCTCATGTACTTGGGCAGAGTGTCAGGGACAAGGTCGTGGAGGTGTGATGTTCACTTCATGGCAAATAGGAAGCAGAGAAAAGGGGAATGGGTCTGAATATAACCACCCAAGTGATCTAGGCCACACCTTATAGAGGCCTGTCACCAGATAGACATTATCTTGTAAAGTTTCTAGAAACTCCCAAAATAGTGTTAGCTAGGAACCAAGAGTTCAAAACACATGACTATGAGGGGCAATGTATACTCAAACTGGAACGTTATGCCCTTGACTTGTAAAGACTAATGGCCAGCTCATGATATAAAATGCATTTAGCTCATCTCCAAGAGTCCTCAAAATCTTAGCTGTTCCAAATTGTTCAAAAGTCTCATTTCAAAGGCTCTACATAGACTCAAGACAATCTCTTGGCTGAGTTCCCCTTAAAATGGAAATAAGTCATGGACTTCTAACATACAATAAACGCACAGTAGTTATTCCCATTCTAAAGAGCTTGAGCATGTGAATGCCAAATAAATACTGTACCAGGGCAAGACTAAAGTCCACTGAAGCAAGCATTAAATCTTGTAGCCTCACACAGGGGTACACAGTGGTGACATAATGAGGATACCAAATACCATACCATTTGCAGCCCACATGACCTTTCTTGTACGCTAACTCCATTCTTTGCCTAAGGCTTCCCTTAGTAGATGTACCTTATTCCCAGAATATAAAGCATTGTGGAAGTTCTCATTGTATATATGACTTTACCCTTAGCTCATTCATTGCTTTGTCATGGGCTCCCTGCTGTGAAACTGACCCTACTAAGCACTGCATGATCTCCCAGATTTTCCTTTGAAATCAGATGGCAGCCTCCAGGATTCCTGGATTAGTTGTTTTTGTTCTTGCTGTGATCCAAATACCTAGGAGAATAACTTACAGGAAGAGGTACCCTTCTTTTAGCTCACAGCTCTGAGGTTTCACTTTACAGTCCTTGGCTCCATGGATTCTGGGTACATGCTGAGGCAGAACGTTCTAACTAGTGCCATGATCTTGGGACCAAGCAGTCAACACACACATCTATGGAGAACATTGCATATTTTAAGCATAATAATACTTGATTCAGGGGGCAGTGGTGGTTACAAGCCTCATGTCTGGTAAGCTCAAGAAGGCTTCACACATGCAGAGGTCGGCTAAATCTTGAGGGACAGATGGAGGGTGTTGTCAGGGGCAATGGTGGTGGGTGGGAAGGATGCTCCAGGTATTTCAATATTAGGGCTGCTATTTGAGTGAGAGAGTGTTGTTCTCTGAGTTGATTTGCTAGAGTGGAACAGGCAGAAGCAAGCTGCAATCGGTGGTCTCTGCTGGAAACCTGGCCATGGTGGCTGGAGTCAGTTATTCAAAGCTTCTTTGGACAAACTGAGGGTATTGTTTGGTGACAATGAGGAACCACTGAAGGTTTCTGTCAAGGAGGAAGAGAAACAGACAAGGAAGTAAATGTTTATATCACTGGAGTAGGGAAAAGGCTGAGCTGAGAGAGCCTAAAGGCAGGTTAACCATCTGATTGGTCCAGGCAAGTGGGGGAATTTCTTTGGACCAGGGACTGAGGCAGTGGGCTCTGAGAGAAGGGCGTGGCTTCAAACACATGTCAATATGTAGAAACCACAGGACTGGATGTCATGGGGTCAAAGAAAGGGGAAAAGGTGGCAATGACCCTGACATTCCATTTTTGGTCTGTGGTGATACTGTCAGTGGAGGCAAGGCACAAATGTAGGTAGGAGTGACAGTGACAGTTGACACGTCAGCTTGAACTTGCTGAGTTTATGGTTGCCAGTGAGGTGGCTGTGTACAGCAGGAAGCTGAGAATCTTGGCTCAGAGCCCAGGAAAGGCTTGGAGGCTGGGAAGTCACAATGGTCCACGTAGCACTGGTTAACCTCATGACTTGGTTTTCTCTCCTCCCATTCTATAGGTCTCGGGCCTGGATCTGGGAACACAGCCAGGTTAGCCTCCAGCCCTAAGAAGTAGGGTGGTGAGGAAACTGGCCACGAGGACGTGTCTTTTGGCCTTCCCAGGAACCTTATCTGATCTCCAGGTCAGACTCTTCCTTTAAGGGCTATGGCTTTGGCCAGCATTGGGAGGGAAGATGGCAATCAGGCACGCACAAGCTCATGCACAGAGCTCAAGTGCACAAGTGGCCATGAGGTGAGGACAGCACGGTCCCCAGATCTTAAGCCATATGTCTTCAAAACCAGGGGACTGTGCTGTAGTAAATTTTACCAAATCAATGACTGGGGACAAAAGGAGAAAAGGCCAAAATTCATGCTAGGAAGCTGGAGCTGGGAGCACATCCATAGAGGACACTTTATTTATTTATCTACTTATCTGTCAATTGATTTTTGAGATTCATTCTATGAAAACTGCAGCTGGTCACCTTGGAGTCCTAAAACTTTAATTAGACCCAGCAGGTCCTAGAACCAAGTCCCATAGTTCCACAAATCTAAAGCAACAAGCTAGGCATGACAGTCCAACTCACACTGTGAGTACAGATAGCCTTTATCCAGCAAAGTAGAAAACAAGCGTTACCAAAGGGAATGCTTTAACTAAGATTTGTTAGCATCATCCTCACCTGAGCTGTAGACATAGGAAAGTACAATGAATTCCCATGTACCCTGAGTCACTTTGATATCTCTTATTATTTTGTTTCCAAACAAGCCCTGAACTAAGGACAGATATGGGCCAGAAACTATATAGTGTTTAGCAAAGGAACCATCTGCTTTTTCTCCTCTTTAAAAGTAGTACTTGCTTGAATCCCCATATTAGTTACTTTTCTCAGTGTTGTGACAAAATATCTGACAAAAGCAACTTAACGAAGAAAGTGGGCGTTTATTTTTGCTTACGGTTTGAGGGGCCACAGTCCATCGTGGCAAGGAAATCACACTCACAGGATCCAGAAGTGGCTGGTCACGTTGGTCTAGACAGGAACAGAGAGAGATGGATGCCACTACTCACTTCAGTTGCCTTTCTTTTTCTTTTTCTTTTTCCTTTGCTGTTTTTCTTCAGTCCAAGACCACAGGTCATTGAATGGTGTCACTTACACTCAGGATGCATCTTCCTATCTTAGTTAAACTTCATTAGAAATGCTTTCACAGATACGCTTATAGGTGTGTCTCCTAATTAATTACAAAGCCAATCAAGTTGATAATAGTAACTAGCCATCACATGCCCTCACCCCAGATCCATCTGAGAACAATCCCAAAATTCTAGAAATACTTCCAGTGGGATTGGCAGGTCTCTTGGAACCCAAATAGTTCCATAAGTTCCTACAGCTACTTCTTCCATGAATCTAGGCTATTTCCTGGAGATTTCTGCCTCACTTTAGGCCATGAGTACCTGAGCATCAAGTGTGAGGAATGTTAAGAAACCCAGAATCAGCTATTAAGGTACTAGAAGTAAGCCTTCCCATCCTACCAAGGAGCTGGAGGTTCTCCAGGAAGCCCTCAAATGTTTGCACAGAGCCCTTGGGAAACTCCAGTGTAACCTTAGCCCCCATTGCTTGACATGGGCTCATGATCCTTACTTAGGCTAACCCCATATTGGTTTTGCCTTCAGGATTCTATTGGGGTTGTTTTGATCTTCTAACATTTTTTAAGTCCCCAGAGTCTCAAGATTAATTGTATACACTTCCTCGGAGTGGTAGGATAATAAACTCTGGGTATGTGAAACCCCCTTGTCTGGCACAGGTTTTTACAATGTATTCTGTCAGTCCTTCCCACCCATGAGACCCAACTATTTCTCTTCTGAATCCAGGAGGACAGTAGTTATGAATAGGTGGAGTCTCAGATAAGCGCCATATCTTAGGGAGGATATCTCAATACTGTCCCTATTGAAATCGTCTTCAGTGCCCCCTGCCTTCCAGAATATAAGATATGAACTATTGTGACTGCCATTCCTCTTAAAATACTAGGAGTCCAGGAGTTCCTAAGCTTTTTCCTCTAAGCTCTCATTTGCCTGGTCAAACAAACCACGTTCAAGGAGCTCTTAAGGGCTGGCACAGTAGGGAAAGGTCATTAGGTAAGTGGCCCAGCATCAGTTTTGTGGCCCTCATCAGCAGAGAAGTCTTATGCGCCAGGATAAAGCATGTTGGCTTCCCCAAGACCAATGGAACAGTTCTTACCTCAGTATATAAGTACACCCAGGGAAGGGTTCTCAGGGCCAGGTTATGTCCCTGAGAGGGATGGGTTACTTGCCCACCTGACACTGTTGAGTGAACTTACTCTCTGCATTGTTGTTCTTTACGTTCTTGATACAAAGGTCCAGGCAAAACAGAACTGATTATAGTTTTAGTTTTTTCCTAGATGGAGACAATAAGACAATTGTCTCCTCCTGATTACATTAGGGTCTGATGGCAGTGTCTAAGAGGGCTGAGGTCTCAAGGCTGAGAATATCCGGAAGGCATGGTGGTGCATACCTTTAACCCAGCACTGGGAAAGCAGACAGGAGGTTCTCCATGAGTGAGTTTGGGGCCAGCATGGTCTACATAATGAGTTCCAGGCTAGATACATAACGCAGTCAACCCAATGTCATTGAGCCCTAGTTTCCTTAAGTCTCAAACGCAGGTGTGCTTCTCTTAGAATAACAATGGAAGGATTGCATCCACATGTGTTGCAGCAGTAGGGCATGCTGGGCTTGGAGGCTGGAAGATAAAAGAGTCCATGCACGTTAATGCTTTAGTTAGCTTAGGACTTGGCTGTAGCAAGACTCCAGAAATGGTGTTTCTCATTGTTGCTGTCACCGACACTATCAGCCTAGTCACAGTAGAAAAATAAAAAGTCGTGGGCTAAATCATATACAGTCTCAAATTCTTGGCAAACATACCCCACCAGGACACCCTTTAGAACACTGATTTCCAGATATTGTTTATCACTGGGTCCTTGTTTTCTCCCAGCCTCCTCGTGGCCTGAGAGGTGGCAATCTCCTGAACTGTGAGTTGTGCACAATATTCATTTCCATGCTTTGCTCCTCCCCCGCTATCACTGAAGCCCATCAGTTGTAGCCCAAGGGCCTCCAACCACCCCCAGTGCAGCCTCTTGTTCTCTTCTCTCAGGCATGTGACCAGAGCTGTGGGTGACTGCCTGCCCATCGATGCTATCTGGGATACTAAGTACAAGCACTGCTTTCCAAGTGAGTGCTTTAGGACAGAGTGAGTGGGTGGCACAGAGCAGACATGACTCCATGAGATTTACTGACAAAGCCTGGCTTGTTCTCCGAGAACTTCTTCAGAACTAACTGAGCAACTTTAAAAATACAGCTTGGCTGGCTTGTCCTCTGGGACTCTGATTCAACAAAGTTGGAAATAACTCCCAAGACGAGGCTGATGCACAGCCAGACTTTATAGGAGCCGAATATGTAAATATCTCTCTGACAAACAAAAACTCCCAGACTTAGGAAGAGTAGGACCTGTGTTAGCCTTGGCTTTCTAGGCCCAGCCCAGTATTTCTTCTAATATGGTAGCTCTGGTGAAGGCCAGAGAAACCTGAACTTTTAACCAGAATTTAACCCAGGTAACTCAGGCCTAGCAGAAATGATTGTTTGCTTTGTAGTCATTCCTGATTTACAATTCAAAGTTCTCTTGGAAAAAAAGGCCTGCCTAGCCCATTATGAATTTATGTATCTCTTTCACATTAACACTTAATCGGCACCCAGTTTAGAAATGATTGAAACCCTTTCTCACTCGTTTGCTGGTACATAATTAAAAACTGGTGCTAAGTAAAAGGCATTTCAGTTCATTATTTCATTGAAGCTAGCTATTGCTTCAGAAGAATTTATCCCCAAAGCACCTTAACACAACATTTATTATTGCATAGTGTCTGTGGATCAGGAATTTGAGCATGGTCTAGTTGATAGGCGTTAGCTCAGGATCTTATGCAAGACACAGGCCATGGTATAGGATCTTGTCTGATAGTTCAACCTGGGGAGTGTGCTGGCTAATTTTATGTCAACTTGTCACAAACTAGAGTCATCTGAAAGGAGAGATCTTCAATTGAGAAAATGCCTCCATAAGATCCATCTGTAGGGCATTTTTTTTGATTAGTGATTGATGTGTAAGGGTCTAGCCCATTCCCTGGGCTGGTGGTCTTAGGGTATATAAGAAAGTAGGCTAGCCAGGCGTTGGTGGCACATGCCTTTAATCCCAGCACTTGGGAGGCAGAGGCAGGCAGATCTCTGTGAGTTTGAGGCCAGCCTGGTCTACAGAACTAGTTCCAGGACAGTCTCCAAAACAATACAGAGAAACCATGTCTCGAAAAACAAAAACAAAAAACAAAACAAAACAAAAAAAGAAAGTAGGCTAAGCAAGCCATGAAGAGCAAGTCAGTAAGCAGCAGTCCTCCAAGGTCCCTGCTTCAACTCCTGCCTCCAGTTTCCTGCCCTGTTTAAGTTCTTGCTCTGACTTCCTTCAGTGACGGACTACATGTGGAAGTGTAAGCCAAATACACCCTTTCCTCCCCAGCTTGCTTTGGGTCATTGTGTTTCACCATAGCAATAAAAACCCCAACTAAAACAGGGAGAATCTACTTCCAAACTCACTTAACATGGTTGCTAGAAGGATTCAGGATCTGTTTGTTGTTTTCTTTTTTATGGCTGCTGACAAGAAACATCAGTTCCTTACACTGTGGGGCTCTCAATGGAGTGAGTCTACCTTACAACATGGCTGTTGACTTCCTTCAGTGTGAGTAAAGAGAGAGCCAGAGAGAGATGGGGAATGAGAATGGAAGGGAGGAGAGAGACCGTCTAGGAGTATAGTTCAGTGTGGAATACTTGCTATGACACCATGCTTGTATACCTGGTAGAAACCATGGTTATTTTTGACATGAAATCCCTCTACAATTCCCTTTTGTCTTATTTTCTTAATTAGAAGCAGGTTGTTAGGTTTAGCTCACAATCAAGAGGAAGAGATTAAGACCTGAATACCAAGGGATATAGAACACCAAGAACTGTTTCTTTAGGTTCCTAATGCGGGTATCATATTTTAAAATAAAGCTTATGCAACAGTTAATATTATTTAAAATGGTAGAAATTGCTTTTAACTTATGAATAATTTATCCTGTTAAGACTGTAAAATAAACATAATTTTTGTCAAGTATATTCAAATATAACTTCCTAGTGTGTTTTGCTTGAAGGACAGATGTATCTTAAAATGTCAAAAGCAATTTACACATGCTATGATATAGAAATAGACAAACCTCCCTTTCTATTGTTATGTTTGAGATTCTGTGTTTCTCAGTGTAAAAATAAATTTGCTTATATTCATGTTAGTCACTTCTCTATACATGTTTCACATAGTAAAAATGTTTATTCCATTTCCTCCACTATACATGAATATAAATTTGCTATAGCTATCACTATGCTTTCTGTTTTTATCACTGATTAATAAACTCTACAAGACAGTTTAATATACAGCATAGATTTTTTAATAAGATTGTTGTTGTGTAAGAATCTTATAAGGTGGGGGGAGGAGGGGAGGGAGAGGGAGCTGGGATTGCCATGTGAAACAAGCTTGTTTCTAACTTAAATTAAAAAGGGGGAAGGAATTTTATAAGGCCAGGTACGGTGGTGCACACCTTGAATCCCAGCACTGGGAAGGCAGAGTCAGGACAATTGCCATGAGTTCAAGGTCAACCTGGTCTACACAGTGAGTTACAATGCAGCCAGGGCTACATAGTGAGAACTTGTCTCAAAAGAAAAAAATCATCTTATAAGGGATAGACAGTGACACACACCAGTAATCCCAGGATGGGAGACCAATTTATCCTCCATAGCAAGACCCTGTCTAAGAAACCAGCAAACAGCAGGTAAAAAGAATTTTGTAAAAAGTAACCAGGCAATTTATTAATGAACTAGTGTTACCCTAATGAAATATTGAATACTGAGTGTCTTTAAGCAAGAGAAATAGTTTCTCTCTTATAATTCCAGAAGATAGACACCCAGGATCAAGATGTTGATAGAGGTGATTTCTTCAGTGTCTCTCCTTGGCCTACAGATAGCCATTTTTGCTCTATGTTTCCTCACAGTATTTTCTTTGCTCATATCTGTGTCCAAATTTCTTCCTTAAGTGTTCTCATTACAACTTAATTACCACAACTCTCTCTCCAGACACAGAACTACTCTGTCATAATGGGGCTTAAGGCTTCACCATAGGACTTTGAAGGCAGGTCATAAGAATCAGCCTATAAAACACTAGCTTTCAGAATTGCTATCATTTTTACCATCTTTTTCATTTCAACAGAGGTCTTCCTCATGTTTTTTGTCTTTAGCCAAGAATCCCCCATAGGCACAAATGGAACAATATGTAACTAAATAAAAGCAAGTTAAATCTATATAATGACTGAAACACTGGACTATGGAACTGTGTTGTAGCTCAATGTCTATTTGGCATATATATGAGGCCCTGACTGCGTTCTCTAGCATCCACCCCACCACACACACAGGGCTAGTCTATATTGAATATGGAAGTGATAAGAGTTTGAATATCGTGATCCAAGATTCATTGCTGTGTGGGGTTACTAGAGGTTATCAAATTTCCACTTTTCAAAACAAATACTTTTAAGAAACTCTCAGTATTGACTTTATAAATGGGAACTGAAAAGTATTCATTATTGACTTTACAGTATAAACAGAGTTCATGAGATACCTCTTTAGAAATGTTGTTTAATCCAGATTTCCATGTGTACTGTAGATAGGAGGAGTCAAATAGAGTTCATTCAGTGGTTTTCATGTGACTATATACTGGACATAGCACTGGGCAAGAGGTATTCACCTATGTCGTCTCTTTAAGCTTTTCTAATGACAAATCCAGTCAATCATTGAGTTATGTGAAGCTAACTCTGAAATACTAGGAAAAGGTTAACAGTAAAATCAAATTAAGGCACCAGGTACAGCAAGTTCTACAACTCATCAAGAAGCCCAGCAGCCCCCACCCTCATCCTTGAAGTAACCACAGACTCCACCCACCCTCACCACCCCCAATTAAACTTGTGTGGCTTCAAGAATTTACACTGGATGAAAATTTTTAAATATTCAGTTTTCTTTTTACTTTAGATATGGGTTTTTCTTCAACTATATTCTGCCAGTTTCTTCTGCAAAGATTCAGCATTTCCTCAACATTTAAGGCTAAATAGGTTTTTTGTGGGTTGAACTAGGGACCAAGTCGGCATTTATATCATTGATGCTTGGGAAAGTGGCGTTTCAATTGAAGAAAAAGTTATAAACACATTTTATTTTAGAACCAGATCTCTCTGTAAACTTGAAACTGCTTGCATCTTATTTTCCTCCTACAGGGTTGCCTCATCCAGCTTTGATATGAGGGTTTGTGCCCGGTCTTATTGTAACTTGTTATTCTTGGTTGATATCCCTGTGAGGGCTGCTCTTTCCTGAATGGAAACAAAGAAGATATGGAGGAGATGTGTGGTGGTGGGGAACTGGGAGGAGTGGAAGGAGGGGAAACTGTGGGTCCGGATGTAATGTAGGAGAGCGGAAGAAGAAGAAGAAGAAGAAGAAGAAGAAGAAGAAGAAGAAGAAGAAGAAGAAGAAGAAGAAGAAGAAGAAGAAGAAGAAGAAGAAGAAACCATCACAAATAGAAAAGAAAAGCAATAAGATCTGCTTGAGAAT